CGCCCGACAGCCCGGTAGCCCGGCCGGCCCGGCTAGCCGCCAAGCCGTGGCCAAGCAGCTCGGGCCAGCCCGGCCCGGCCGGGCCGTGGCCGAGCTTGCCGGCCGTGCCCGTCCGACCAGGCGCGTCGCCCGTCCGACCCGGCGCGTCGCCGGCCGTGGCCCGGCGCCTTGCCGTTCAGCCCGGGCACCTCGCCCGTTCAACTTGCCGTGGGCCCCGGGCATGCCGTTCGGCCACCGCGCCGCGCGCCCGGGCGCGCCGTCCGGCCATTGTGCCCGCGTTGGCCGGCCACCGCGCCCGTTGACCCGTGCCCGCGCCTAGTTCGGCACTGTTCACCCGGGCCATTTTAGGCCCGAGTCGATTTTCTTCGGGCCAAAACCAAGTAAGTGACTTCCTAAACTCTACCTAGTACTTTGGGTATTTTTAGACTTGTTTAGGATGTGATTAGTATCGGGTTAGGAATTAATTTAGGCGTGGGCTAATTAGATTGAGTGTGCCCGATTTATGAATTATTGTGGTAATAATTGTGTGGCTAATTTAGTGATTGACTGAGGTAAATAGCATGACTGAATTGTCGTGGCACTTGTGGGTGAATTGGAATCAATTGAATGTCGGAATCGTGAGCTTGTGATTTGGAATTGAGATGATTGTAAGTGCATAATTGTGGCTATTGTTGGTGGGTCAATGATTGGCCTATCGTGGCGTTTGTGAGTGGAGTTGATAGCTGAATGTGACCGACTTGAGGGTCGGATTGATGGAATATTGTGGTGAGCATGCCTTGAGTTTGATTGGTACGATTTGTGAGAATTGCGAATTGTGTTGTGGTGCATGTGCATGAGAAAAGCCCGGATTGATCGGAGGGCTGCCAACCTGAGGCGTAGGTTACGCGGGTGTGGCGAGAAAGGCATGACCAGACCTGAGGCATAGGTTACGCTGGTCAATGGAAGGGGAAAAATGTCCTGAGGCGTGGTTACGCGGGACCGAGCCCGGCTTGATCCGAGGGGCGAGCCTGGCGCATGGCGCGCGGGCCGTGAGATTGGGCTGAGGCGCGTGGCGCGGGCGGTGTGAAAGGACACGGGAGGTCGTGGAAAGTTGTTCGACCACGCATGCGAGTTGTGTGTGATTGAATTGATTGAACTGACTGGCTAATTGAATGTGTGATTGAATTGGTGTGATTGATTGAGTGCCAGTGTGGTTGGCGTTTGATTGATCGTGATATGTTATTGAGTTAGTATTATTGTCTTGTCGCGATTTGACTAACGTGCAGAGTTTACATGGGTTCGATGGTGAGGTAAGTATAAGGATGCGATTTTATTTTATATGTTATGGGGTAAATTGCATGTACGACTTGTCTGGGTACGCATTGGCCTACGTGGGGTTTAGGGTGTTGCTTATTGAGACTCGTTCTCACGGTTATTATATAACCATTTCAGATTCGCAACCGTGAGTGATTGGAGACACTGCAAGGGTATCTCGGAGATCGATGACGGGTCAAGTATATTGTATTTTTAGTCCCCCTTTGTAGAGGAGTTAAGTTTGTAAACCTTTGTCCCTTTTGAGGAATGTGGTTCTGTTGTTGTGGCCTAGCTTAGGAATTGTCTTTTTTGTAGACGTCGTATGTATCTGCCAAGTGTAGGAATTACAGTTATTGTTTTGTGCTATTGTTACCCCTTGTCATTATTAATTGTCCGGGTTGTTTCTATTTGTTTCCGCGCGTGCCTAATCTCTGATGTTTGGGTTGGGTCGGCGACGTGTCTGGGACGTCGCATTCAATGATCGACCATCGCGGGATGATCGCGCGCTCGTAGGGTGCGGGGCGTGACAGGACTTGCACCGAGAGATATCTGATAACTACAACTTACAAGGCCTTAACATATAGGCTTTCGCATTCTCGAACCATCACTTGCTTCAGACATTTTGATTATGAAAGGTCCAACCTTTCAAGGGACTTGAACAAAGAGATATCCAGCACTTCCAAGAACTCTGAGGCCTTGAATTTCAAACTAAAATTTCGCATTCTTTAGCATTTAATTGCTTCAGACAATTTTAACAATGAAAGATCCAGCCTTATAATAGAATTGCACTAAGAGATTTCCAACACTTTTGACCACTTCAATCTAACAATTGCTTGAATTTCAACTAGGTTTTCGCAATTTGCAATGGCCAACCTCCTTATACCGTTGATTTATGGGATCTCTAGCCTTTTGATGGATATGCATGAAAATATCTAACTCTTCCAAGACCCCGGACTTATCATGGCCTCGAATTCCAACAAGATACGCACAAGAGCATGCCTTCAATAGCTTCAAATGATCTAATTGTGAAAGATCCAGCCCTTCAATGGACTTGCATTACAACACATCTAACGTTTCCAAGAATCCCATATGGCCTCTGCTTTCGGCTAGATTTTCGCAAGAAGTTGCCTTCAACTGCTTTAGATAATTAATTCGTGAAAGGTCTAGCCTTCTAATGGATTTGCACTAGGAGATATCCAATTCTTTTAAGAACTCTGACCTATGAAGGTCTTGAATTTCAACTACATTTTCACTACAACTAGCATTTACTTTCTTCAAATATTTCAATTGAGAAAGATCTAGCTTTTCAATGTAATTGCGGTCGATTCTCAACTCTTCCAAGCACTTGAAGCTATCAAGACCTCGAACTTCAACAACATCATCATTTTTTTTTAATTTCGATGGAGCATTCATTCCATCTAATATTCAAGGTCATCAAGACCATATGAATTTGCACACCTTGCTCCGTCCAATGATATATTTCATACGTTCACATGGATGGGAATTTAGAGATGCCTTCAAATTTTTACTAAAAAATTGATTATTAATCGACTAAAAACAAATCTTTAGCCGTTCCCAGGGGGCTAACAACTAACGCACTATTACTTCTTTATTGAGAAGTAATGACAGTGAACTCATATAATTGATGTAATAAAATAGACTGGTTAATCGACCTTGGCTTGGAAAAGTGCTGAGCCGTTGCCTTCCAGCTGTAGGCATTATCCGGTGAATGTCCCCTCATTCACAGCTCCAAGAGGGGCTTTCCTTTTCATTTCTAGTAGAAGTCTTCCTGTGCGTGTGTTTAGTCGTTGCCTTTTTGGCGTTATCCTATGGCGGTTCTCTCTTGGTGCTGAATGCAGTCAGACCAACATGAGCTGATTTTATTATCATTTATGCACTAGCAACTTGGTTAGCCTGTGCTATGCATAGGAGGATCGTTTAACGTTTATGTTGTTGTCCTCCTTGGCCACGACATTAATATTGTATCTAAAAGCAAGGAGAAAAAGAGAAAGAAAAGGACCTAATAGCTACGTTTTCACTATAATTAAATTACCATTATACTTATCTCTAGACCCGTGCTATGCATGTGAAAAAGACTTGTGAAATAGATTACAAGAAATAATAATACTAGAAGTATACTTGATCATCATGAGAATAAGAAATTTTTGAAATATTGAAAAAACGAATTATATTTCTCTTGAACTCAACGGTAAAAATTTTAGTTCGATTAAAGTGGAAAAATAAAAGAAATTTTTTTCAAAAGAATTGGAAGATAAATGTCACTCATGGAGATTGTCACATGTCAGCCATCCATTCAAAATGCTTTAGTGCACCACTTTACATTTGTCAAATAAGATAGATTTGGTATATCGATTTAGATCGATAATGAGACATATGCTGTTACCATTTATCACGATCTAGTTTCCTCCGAGTTTTGTAATATCACCAAAAACTCATAAACCGATACACTCGTACCACATTAACTTTTGTTATATAAAAATTAGGTTAGGGTAAATATTACGGATATATCAGTTTAGGATTTTTTATGGCAGTAGCCCAAAAAATTCAATTTTTAGTTTATATTTTGAAATAGCTATCTAGGGACACATAGATCAATGGCATGTTTCGTAACCATCCTGTTTTTTTAATTATTTTTCTATACTTCTATTCCCCAAAACAGAAAAAATACAAAAATCCATTTGATAACGTTAGTTGATTTTTCTATTCCCCTGAATAGAAAAGTAGCTAGGGAATAGATTTGTAACACAAACAAGAAGTAAAAAAAAATTTAGAGTCATACCAAGCGCTTTTATGTTATTTTTTTATTTCGAGATTACAAATTTTGCGCAGTTACCAAACGCGATCTTATGCTCAAAAACTCATCCAGCAAATAGAAATAGAAAAATACTAATTATGTAAAGAAATTGTTTTCGGGTACAAAAATGTCACCGAGCACACCTAAATGACCGTGGGAGCATCTCCGGATCAATTCGAACAAAAAATAAAAAAATAAAGGCATTTAATTCAAAGACTGAATTGGTAAGGAAAAGTTTAAGCACGCGGTCGTACATATTGCAAAAGTCAAAGGTCATTGGTGTTTTTGTTTTTAGTTTTCTTTTTATATTTTTACATCCGTCTTGCAATAATGGTCGGCCGGTTAAAGCGGCCCCTGTCCGCCTACTCCCGCTGTACGAAACTGGGAGGTGGATCTTTGAAATAAGAGTAAGGAAGAGAGACGAAACTGAGAGAAGCGGGCCCCCCAACACGAAAACCGATTTCATTTTGAGAGTAAGGAGGAGGCGGTGGACATGGAGAATTCTCACAACCGTGTAGGAGGATCCACCGAAACAAGAGAAAAGAGTTTCGATGTGTTTTTGAGCTTCAGTGGACCGAATACTCGCGGCGGCTTCGTGGATCATCTCTACCGTTGCCTCCACCAAGCGGGGATCCGCGTGTTCAGGGATGAACAGATACTCGTCATGGGAGTGCCGATTGCGCAGTCCCCGAAAACCGATTTCATTTTGAGAGTAAGGCGGAGGCGATGGACATGGAGAATCCTCACAGCCGTGGAGGAGGATCCTCCGAAACAAGAGAAAAGAGTTTCGATGTGTGTTTGAGCTTCAGAGGACCGGATAATCGCGGCGGCTTCGTGGATCATCTCTACCGTAGCCTCCACCGAGCGGGGATCCGCGTGTTCAGGGATGAATTCGTGGATCATCTCTACCATAGCCTCCACCGACCGGGGATCCGCGTGTTCAGGGATGAAGAGGAACTCACCGTGGGAGAGCCGATTCAGCAGTCGCTTACCCAACCGATCAGGCATTCCAAGATCGCCATTCCGATCCTGTCAGAGAACTATGCGTCGAGCAAATGGTGCCTCCGAGAGCTGGCTCTGATTGTGGAGTGCCACAAGACGATGGGCCAGATCATCATGCCCGTCTTCCTCGGCGTCACGCCATCGGTTGTGAGGGACAGATCCCACGTTTACGCCGAGGCTTTCGCCAAGCATAGACGGAGAAGAGTCGACTCAGACACCCTCCGCGAACTCCAGGAATGGGAGGAAGCTCTCATCCGTGTGGGATCCATCCCAGGGCTGGAGAGTGATGGGTAAGTGTAATTGAGTAAGTTCAGTCGAGTAACCTAGCATCCAAATGCCAAGGTAGCGCTTTGTTCAATTTAGTTAATCTAATTAGGCTAACGCTAGGTGTATCAATACCTGATGTGTAGCTCGCTCTGATCTGGTACTCAATATGATCCACTTGTTTACATTCTTACTCCCAGCTCGCCACATTACTTAATGTTTTGGTTTTGTTGATAAATTTCAGTATTCCTATGTTACACACATCTTTACAAGCACATGACTCTGTTTTTCGGTTAACTTAGAGGCAGCGATAATGGTTGTGATTTTATATTAAGATGGTCCAGGAGAATGTTCTTCCTCTTGGAATCTGCATCTACAGGAAATCTACCTCTTGCGAGAAAATGCCAGTGTAGAGCGATACCGATTTGCTTAATTTCTGTCGATGCAACTGACAACCTTTGCATCTCATCCTACCGTGCTTTGTCTCTGCTGATTCAGTAAAAATATGTGCCACTAATTGCGTGGCCTGTTTGTCTAAAGCTGATTGCTGTTTGATAGTTTTTGAAAGGAGAGCGTGAATTTTTTTCTTGCAAACTACTTCGGAGTTCAGACATTGTTGGACTTACGTTAATCTTTATGCACGTGCCTTGTGCACGCATGACACAGCTCACGCACACTTGCTTCAATCATCGAGGTACTTGTCGCAAATGTGTTGAGGGTATTGAACAGATACTTCGTTGGCATCGAGCGTCATGTAGAAAGAGTTATGGAATTACTAAATGTGGAATCTAGCGATGTTCGTGGAGTTGGAATACATGGCATAGGGGGCACCGGGAAGACAACAATCGCAAAGTTAATCTACAAAAGAATATTTCATCTCTTTGATGGCTGTAGCTTTCTGGAAAGCGTTAGAGAAAATGCAGAAAAACCAGGAGGTTTAGTAAATTTACGAGGTCAGTTGATTTCAGATCTTCTAGGTGCAATGCATAGACAAATTTATTCTGATGATGATGACGGAATTAGATCCATCAGAAGCAGATTCTTCCACAAGAAAGTTCTCATTGTTCTCGATGATATTGAACCAAGCTTTGAACTTACATCAATTTTAGGAAGTCTTGATTGGTTAGGCTCTGGAAGCAGGATCATAATTACCACCAGAGATGGACAAGCTTCAGATGAGCTTGAAATGTTCCTGAAATATAAGGTCGAGGGAATGCGAGAAGAGGATGCCCATAAACTTTTCCACATCCATGCCTTCAGGGAGAAACCTGCTCCAGATGACCTGGCTACTCTGCCCAAAGATATAGTATCAACTATTGACCAGCTTCCTCTGATTATTGAGGTTGTCGGGTCGTATCTATTTTCTAAAAGCAAGGACGTGTGGGAGCAGACATTAGACGAGTTGAAAGAAGTACGTTCGCAAGATGCTCAAAAGCAATTGATGGTAGTCATCAAAGCATTGCCTGACAAGCAAAGAAAGATATTTCTGGACATTGCTTGTTTCTTCATTGGAGAGGACAAAAGTGTTGCATGCTACCTGTGGTCTGACCGTGATTCCGCAAGCGGATTGGAATTAGAAGTGCCCGTCCCCTCGTCTATTGTTAAGATTGAGAACAATAAGCTGTGGATGCATGATCAACTTCGAGACCTTGGTAGGAATATCGTCAAATCGGAATATTGTGAACCTGGAAAGCGCAGCAGATTGTGGATGCACAAGGAAGCCTTGGATGTGCTGAAACAGGAAAAAGTAAGATACAAGTTCATCGCTATGTTTACCTTACGATTGTATTCCTTACAACCAGTGCTCCTTTTTTTATAGAGGAAAGACACTTATGATGCGTTTGTTTTACAGAAAATGAATGATTTGGAAAATATTTTCTAAAAGGGATAATAACACAAATGGTCCTTAAACTTTGGCCCAATGTGCAATGTGGTCCTTGAACTTTTATCATTTTCACATATTTTTGTGGGGAAATGCTAAGTCCCATTGGTAATCCTATGTTCCATGTGTAGGGGACGGAACATGTTGAAGGTGTTCTTCTCAAATTTGACAGTAGGTCCCAAGACAGTTTTAAACCAGCACATTTTGCAAGTACGTCAAACATAAGATTCCTTCGATTGGATCAGGCGGACCTCAATGGAAATTTTGAGCGGCTTCTGTCAAGTTTAAGATGGCTCCATTGGCAAGGTTGTCCTCGCAATCTTGGTGCTCAAAATTTGGATTTGAAGGAGTTGGTTATTCTAGATCTTTCCTGGAGCAAGGTCAATGAAAAATGGAATGGTTGGAGAGAAATCGAGGTATAGAAGTATATTATTTTTAATTTCATTTTTCAAATTGTTGCGGAAAAATTAACTCTTTTGTTATTCTACCTTTTGACAGAAAGCCGGGAAACTGAAAGTTTTGAACCTCACCGGTTGTGTTGACTTGATCAGAACTCCAGACTTATCTCATTACAAATGTTTAGAGAGACTGATTCTTGAAAGGTGCATTCGATTGGTTGAAATCGGTTCATCGGTAAAAAGTCTGAAGCGCTTGGTTTCACTGAACTTGAGGTTTTGCATTGAACTCAATAAGTTGCCTGAAGAGCTGGGTTCCCTCATATCCTTGCAAGAGTTTCTTATAGACGGAACTGCTGTTCAAGAAATTCCTGCCTCCATCGGTCATTTGAAAAATCTTGGAAGATTCAGTGCCCGCAATTGTCTTTCATTGATCCAGCTGCCCGATTCAATTAGCCATGTAAAGTCACTGAGAGTCTTCGCACTTGATGGTACCAAAATAACTAAACTTCCCATGTCTATTAGAGAGTTAGAAGGGCTACAACACTTGTCAATAAGTCATTGTAGGTCAATATCGAAGTTACCAACGTCCTTGGGGACTTTGGCTTCATTGGACGAACTCGATTTATCAAGCACTGGAATTGTCGAATTACCTAATACTGTCAATGAGTTATATCTTTTAAGAGTGCTCAAAATTGATTTTACTTTTGTAAGAGAGCTGCCTTGCGCTATATGGACGTTGAAGAGGCTGGAAGAGCTGCATGCTTCAAGATGTCGGAGTTTGGATGGGGAAATTCCTAGAGATATTGAGGAGCTTTCGCAATTGAGGGTCTTGAGGCTTGGATACTCTCGGATTCGTGGTCTACCAGATAGCATTTCTACCCTTACCAGTCTGCAAACGCTTGATCTGCTTCATTGTGACAAGCTCCATAAAGTGCCCAAGCTTCCTTCCACTTTAATAAGCCTATCTTTCAGTTCTAAATTGATGGAGACAATTCCAGACATCAGTAGTCTGGTTAAGTTGGGAGAGTTATTCTTGGCCGATGGTTCCCAGGAACTGGTGTTACCTGGCCAAGGTCAAATTGAATCGAAAGGACGCACGGATTTGCAGCTTGGGAGTTTGTTAGAGCTAAAGATATTTCATCTATCTGTGTTAAAGGTCCAACCTGTTGGGTTGCATTACCTTATTAAGCTCAGGAAGCTCTCCCTTTGCTGCATTCACTTGGAAGAGCTACCACAGCTTCCTTCAAGTTTATTCACTCTATCACTTCGCCATTACAAATCACGGACAGGATTGCCAGATCTTTCATATTTGAAGCTCCTGTCAGAATTCGAGCTTTTTGACTGTGCAGTGACAGAAGTTCCAGGCCTCAAGAAGTTCGAATCCTTGCGAGTTTTCAGAATATCTCACTGCAACCTGCAACAGCTGGATGAGCTTGAGAACTTGATATTTTTAGCGTCATTGAATGTTTCATACTGTCAAAGTCTTGAGAGACTTGCCGATCTATCAAAACTGAAGATGCTAAAAGATATAAAAATCAAGGGCTGTCCAAAGATACACGATATTAAAAGTGTGGAACACCTGAATTCCTTCGAGAAGCCAAGCAGTTCAACAATTGAGGTGGAAAGCTCATCCGAGGTAACCAACACTACTGATTTTCCCACCGCACTGCATAAACTGAGGATGGCACTTGATAAGCATGTGTCATGTCTGGAATTTTTACAAACATGAATGAATTGCTTAATAATAACAAAAATGCATGACATGATGAATTACGATGTACAGGATATTTGCTTCCATTAACAGATGCAGAATAATTTTTCAAATGAAATCTGACTCATCAAGACTTTATATTTCTTTTGTCTTTTTTAGTGGGAAGATAAGTCCAAATGTGTAAGGACTCCACTTCTTTTTCTTCTTTAAAAGGGCATTTAGTATTTTTCTGCAATAAACTAGGAAAAAACTTCTATTTGTGCCAGTTTGTTTAATCATGCTTTCTGGAGGTGTTGTTACGTACTCAGTCCAGAGCGTTGAATGATGTATTGGTAGCTTAAATCTTTGATGTGGTGTGGAAAAGTGCTGACTGCTGTACCGATATCTTAAATTTATGATGTGGTGCTTTGGTTATGTTCAAGTTAATTCTTAATCCAAAGTGCTGTGAATGAATTGGGATGAGTGGCTCATAGAAGGTATTCCATTCTCCAAACTTTTCTCTCGTAATTCAGATTAGTTTGACGAGCTACTCTTCCAAGGACATAGTCTGATCAATACTGTCAACGAAATCTCAAAAATTCGTTTGATCTCTTGTCACTTCCAGTCAGTTTGAATCTAAGCATCAATCTTTATCACTGATTTGACAAATGGTTGAAATCTTATCTGACGCACTGAATTGATGCTTCGACAAATTTTGTTGCAGGTGGAGTTTAGGAAACCAGCTAATACCAAATATTCTTCCTTTCAGGGTGTCAAATGCAAGGACAAAGGTATGGGTCTACATCGAGATTGTCAAACACTATAGGATTAAGTATGAGTTCAACCTTGAAATATAGACACTGAAAGAGATCATGGCTAGAAAGCTGCGAGACCGTAAGAATAGGCGGTTAAGGAATTATTTCAAGCTATGCCATATTGTTTGAACTGATCAGACATTGACTAATTGTTTGGGCCATGTGGTAAATCTTACACCTTAACTGTTGCTCCTCTTGCTGTAGTAAGCACATACAATCCTTAAGAATATAGTCTACAAGCGCTCACAAACATCATCAGTCCCTTTTATCCTCAATTACTTTCTGCTTGAAAATGGCATTTTATCTATTTATCCAAAGAGGCGAGGTGAGTCGTTATTTGAAGCTTGCCTCCTTTCTCAATAGAGGATTCACGAACCTCTTTTGTCTGACAGCTGTTTTTCTGACCGATATGCCTACATCGGCGAAGGATGATGGCGATGCTTTCCCTGTCAATGACGAAGATAAGGATGAATATAAAATTCCTGAAGGGGAGAAGAATGAACCTGTTGAAAGCATTGCCTTGGCAATTTCTGACAAGCCCAGTCTTCCTCCTAAAGCAGAAGCAAAATCTTCCAAGTCTGACAAGTCAGTCACTGAAACTTTGAGCGATTCTTCTAATGTGCAAAGTTCTCCCTCTTTTGGAGGTTCATCAATCATGAGGGGTACAGTGAAGATAAATTTAAGTGATGTTGAGCAAGATAAGGATTCCAGTTTGTCAGTGAATATGACAGGGACTAAAACTACTGGCGTCTCTCCATCGACGGATATGCCACTTGACAGGGCATCAACTATCTCTTCTTTGGCAACCATTGTTTCTGCTTTGCCTCCTCCTGCCGCTCAACCAAAGCCATCATCAGCAATGGACAAAGATAAAGCCCCTATTGTTGCGGAGGTGGATTTATATGGCGACGAAGAGGAGTCTCTTTTGTCAGAGATTGAGTCTTTGTTGAGTGGCGAGTCAGGAAAGCAAAATACTGGGACAGAGATGTCACGAGAAAGTCAATTTGATCTTCAAGCATACCATAAAGAGGTGGAAGATATAATGAGTCAGGGACTCCTGGCAATTATGTTTAATCCCAAGGTACTAGGGCGTTCGCAAGAATTATTGAACATCTTAGTCAAACAGAACACGCCAGAGGTCTCTACGATTGTACATCGTGTCTATCTCAAATTGCAGATATTCATTCGGTCTGTGGGTGACTCCCTCTCTTCCCAACAAAAGATCTTTACTGAATGTGAGAGGTTTGAAAGAGAGTTTAAAAAGGAAAAGGATGCTTTGGCGTCTGACAAGGATGAAGTTCTTTTGCTCAAGAGACAATTTGAAGAAAAAGCTAAGAGTGTGGCTGACAAGGAGCAAGTTATTGCCAAACTTCAAGCAGAGATTGTGGCATGCAAGCTCACAGTTGAAAATGCAAAGTCAGAACTATCATGTTTGTCAACAAAGAGATCAGAGAGAGTTAAGGAACTGAAGAAGAAGTGCAAGCAAGTCCATCGTATGAAGAGCGAGAATCCAAGCATGGAAAAGAAGAGAAATCAAGCTCAGGAAACGATTGACAAAATCAATATAGAGTGGAATGAATTGTATGCAGATGTTAAAGGTGGATCGGCCTCTGAATAGGCTGGTACTTTTTAACTTTCTTTGTTTTATTTGAATCTTCATGTGTCAAACTTTTCTATTCAGGCAAAAAAATAAAAAAAGAGTCGAGTTTCATTCCTAGCTCGCTTATCATTGCTGAAAGGGTGAAGGAAAAACTGATTCATGTAGAATTGACAACCTAATTATGTAGGATCAAGAGCCAAACAGGATTCACTGATTAACATGGACATGGACACTTATGAAAGCAGAAGTTAATTGCGTTATGTTAAAAGAAAGAAGCAGCTCCCATGCAATAGAGTGATAACAAGAAAATCTAGGATACTGAGTGCTAGCGACAGCGATTCTGTTATCCTAAAAGGCCAAAAGTAAAAGGTCCATACATCCGTTTCCTATGACACGATCTCTTCTGCTTAAAATGCAAGGGCCTTCAGTATGTTTAATGTTGTTGTATGAAATTAATGTCGTAGCCTTTCAGCTTAACTGTGATTCAACATGCCCCTTCAGAGTATGTAGCTCAAGGAGACTGCAATCGGATGAATTTTGCCTTACCATAAAAAGGAACTGTTGGCAGAAAACCGTTTTAACTGCAGCCAGCAAGCAAAAACAATCTTCAATGGAATGATCAATTGGAAGAAAATTGAGCAGCACTAAATCAACTTCTGATTTGGGAGATCATGCTCCTGCGCCCTGTGAAACAAGAGCCAGGCCTATGAACTTCAGTTATCGGGCAAGAGTTTGCGTAGCAAGTGAAGCAGGTGAACAACCGTTACTCCGCTTTCTCGTGAAAACCATTTGAATACGAGAATTAGTGTGCTTACCTTGCAAACGAAGCATGTTGCTCTGCTAGGTCTGCAATCTCTCAAGGCTCCCTATAACTAGTCTTGTCAGAGGAAAGAATACTGGTTTCAGGAGGCTCGAGGCCATGCATTGCGCGGGTGCGCAAGTGATGTTTTGAGTGATGTTGATGGAAGTACGAATAGATCAAAGTGTATGGGGATGAGATGTCGATGGATAAACGTAGATGTTTGATAGATTACGATCACCACCAAGGCATAAAGGACGAGTCACCAACCAAGAATAAAGATTGGGATTGATGAAGTTCATCACTTGGGTTTAAAGGACAACCCACCAAGGATAGAGGACTTTGAGTTAGGAGAATCTCACCACAAAGGCCTAAAGAAAAACCACCAACCCGATAAAGGGCTTCTTGGCTCACCACCATGAAAGAATCCACCTTCTAGTATAAAGAAATCAGGGATAGATATATGCTCACACAGAGGAAAATCTCATATATTCTCAATATTCAAATCTTGTTTGTTTGAAAAATGAGATTACACCTAAATTTATAAAGATATTGCTAATCAAAAGAGAAGACTCTTGGAATTCCTGGAGACCGGACAAACTCTTGGGGAATTTAGCCAATTATGACTCTAAAAAATAGCACCACAATAAAGACTCATTAAAAAGCTTTGAATTAAAAGACTCAATAACTAGGACTAGCATCAGATGCATTGAAACTTGACAACATCATCTAAATTCACGCACCAGTCTTGGAAGCCGAACAATCATAGTAGAGGTCACCAAACATTAACCAGAACAGCCTCCAATAATTAGGTTGTCGATGGCAAGTCTCGAAATTGGCAACTAGTCTTGTAAATCCATAACTTCATCATTGAACCCACAAAATTAAATTGATAGCAGAAATCGGCTTTTGCTTGCATGAATAGCGTTTTGGTTGGTTCAATCGACAAAACATGAGTTGTACTTGAGAGTTAATCGATAGAGCCTGATGCTCCCACATCAAACTCCCCAAATTGTTTGAGATTTGTCCTCAAAATTGATAGTTCTTCATCTTCAACATAAGGAGAAAGGTCCTACATTGAAAGTTGCCAAGACGCCATATTCTCTAGGGAGATCAACTTTGTACGTACTATCACCGATTCTCTCAAGAACTTTAAAGGGGCCATTAGCTCTAAATAGAGCTTGTTCTTTTGGCAAGCTGGGAATCTCTCTTTTCTCAAGTGTAACCATATAATATCACTAGGTTGAAATTGAGCTTTCTTCCTATGCTTGTTTGCTTTTTGTTTGTAAGACTAATTCATTTTTTAGATTTTGGATCGAATTTTCTCATGAAGCTTTTTCATAATTTCGGCTCTCTCTTCAGCATCATAGTTGATTTGCGAGTTTGATGGAATGGCTATCATGTAGATAAGTGTAAGAGGATTGATTCCACACACAATTTCAAAAGGTGATCGTCGAGTAGTGTAACTTGACGATTGATTATAAGCAAATTTAGCATGTGCAAGCTTTTATTCACCATGCTTCGAAGAAGAGTAGTGATAGTGCAATTGGTTACCTCAATTTGATCATCAATTTGCGGATGACAAGTTATTCATAATAGGAGTTTAGTGCCAAGCCTTCTTCTTAGGGTCTTCCCAAAGTAACTCAAAATTTTGGAATCTTGATCGGACACAATAGTTGTAGACGAATAATGCAGACAAATAATCTCCTCAAAGTACAAATCAGCCATGGAAGCATCATCCGTCTTGTGACATGGAATAAAATGTGTCATCTTCGAGAAACGATCAACAATCACCATGATGGCATCTTTGCCCCTTTAAATTCTAGGGAGCGCCACAATAAAATCCATGCTTATGTCTTCCCAGAGTTGTGTTGGTACCAAAAAAGGGATGTAGAGCCCTTGATGGAAATGACTCTTCGCCATTTGGCATGTTGCATATCAAGAAATAATGGCATGTACATCTCCATTCATCTTCAGCCAATAAAAGTGCTCTTGAAGGATTTCAATTGTTTGGTTAATTCCTAAATGGCTGACTAATCCTCCACCCTATGCTTCTCGAATCAACAGTTTTCTGATGGAACTCTTTGGCACACATAATTGGTTTCCTCTAAAGAGAAACCCATCCTGGATCAAATAAGCGCCTTGAACTCCATGTTTACAGTTTTTGATGATGGACGAGAAACCAGGATTATCAGCATAGACTTCTTTCATCGATTGGAAACCAAGGATTCTGAATTCCAAAACAACAAGCATCGAATATCTTAGTCGTTAGGGATTCTTAAATGTGGCGCCGTGGTGGTGGGTCCTGCGCTAGCGTCACCCCGGGTTTACGTCGCCGGCTGTCGGCTTACGGCGGTTCCCGGGTCATCAAAAAAAAAAAATATCTCCTTCATAGGGCATCTACTACAAAATTAGTTTTGCTGGGTTTATACTTCAAGATAAAATAAAATGATTCAAAAAATTCTACCCATTTGGCGTGTCTCAAATTAAGTTTGTGCTGGCTACTTATATACTTCATAGCCTCGTGATCATAATGAAGAATAAATTGTTTAGGCTTCAAATAATGACTCCAGTGATCAAGAGCCCTCACAATTGCGTAAAACTCTTTTATCACCGATAGAATAATTCTAAAACTCTTTATCACATGTAGAATAATTCTTCCTCGATTCAGTGAGCTTTTCACTAAATAAGCTAGATGCTTCTGAGCTTGGGTGAGAACGGTCCCGATCCCAACTCCACTTGCATCTCATTTGACCTCATACACTTGGTCAAAATCAAGAAGGGAAAGGATATGAGACTCACAAATCTTTTGTTTTATGATTTCAAAGGCATTGTGGGCAGCCCTTAGTCCATTCGAAGGTTCCATTCTTCATGCACTCCATAATGGGAGCCGTGACAGCACTGAAAATTTTCACAAACTGTCGATAAAAGGAAGCAAGTCCATGGAAGCTTCTCACATTGGAAATCGATTTTGGCTTGGGCCAAGTATTTGCCTCCGCCTAAAAAATCACAGAGATCCATTCTTTTGCCACTACGTATCCCAAGAATACGATGTTTGTTGAAAAGAATTAACATTTCTCCATCTTTGCATAAAGCTTCTATTTTCTTAAGGCTTCAAAGACTATGGGTGAACAAAAAGTTGAATCGGACCGGACCAGGAACTGCCTGAATCAAATCGATACGGTCGGTTCTGGGTGGCTTCCATGAGAACGAGTCACGACGTTCATCGCTCCTCTTGCAGCCTCGGCCTCGCTCGCTCACAATGCTCATCGCTCCCTTTCCTGTAAGTTCAAAACCCGAATTGCCAAACTCACAGGTGGTGAACTTTGTAGCAGGATTTCTCTCTGTTTTGATCTCTGAAAGGATGAATTGTGTTTCTTTTAAATTCTTGTGTTGGTCAGTTGGACTGCGATGTGCCATAGTCGCCGAAGTAGAAGCTGAAGATGGCCTTGTAGGGGTCAACTTTCTTCTCTGGATTGTTTTGGATCAGGATGCATATGCCCACTCTCTTTTGCATAATGCTATGCAATGGCCATTTCCTGGGTGGGTTCAAGAACTAGTGGGTGGTTCCCGATTCCTTGTTTGTGGAACCGACCCGTCATGGGCGGTTTCCGATTCCAAGGTGGGAACCGACCCACCTGAAACTAATCACCCCTATTAAAGACCATGTTTTAAATTAGACACAAGCTCTTCCTTGTTCCTGCTATAAATAAGAATGTCGTCGAAATAAATAACAAAAACTTGACCAATAAAGGAATGAAAAACTTTGTTCATGAGTCTTATGAAGGTACTGGGAGCATTCGTCAAATCGAATGGCATAACTAGCCACTCATAAAGACCTCCTTTTGTCTTGAAGCCTATCTTCCATTCGTCACCTCATTTCATGCGGATATAATGGCAACCACTCCTCATATCGATCTTTGAGAACACTATTGATCCAGGCAACTCATCGAGTATATCATCAAGTCTAGGTATGGGGTACCTATAGTTGATTGTGATGTTGTTGATGGCTCAACTATTGACACATAGTCTGTATGAACCATCCTTTTTCGGCACAAGCAAGGCTGCAATAGAACAATGACTCATGCTCTCCCATACGTATCCTCTTGCAATAAGTTTATTGACTTGTTGTTGCAGCTCCTTTATTTCTTATGGATTGCATCAATAAGCAGCATTGTTGGGTACAGAAGCACCCAAGATCAAATAAATGTGATGCTCAATACCTCTTATGGGAGATAATCCATGTGGTAATTCCTCTGGAAAAAATTCCTTAAACT